ACCTGGTGCGGTGTGTAAACATCGCCACTGGGGAAACAAAGGCGGCCAAGCGTGGTGCTGGCCACCCACTCCCTCGTGTGTTCACTAACAGCACTTGCCCCAACAGTCTGTTCAGGCTATACGGGGGATCTTTGTCTTTGATAAGCAGTCAACCCCTGGCTGGGATAAAACCCGTTACCTGTCTACGTGTTGTGCCCTGATTGGGGTGCATTTGGTATTTTCCATGAAAGTAAAGTACTGCCCGATCCATTTATAGATACCCCGCCGATTGCTCACGGCCCTCTGACTTCCCTCTCGACAGCTGACTGAATATCGTGGCAGCGATGGCTCCGAGATAACGCACACGGAGGAGAGTATTCATTAACGAGTTTAATTAGTTGCATTGCAACCGGTGGGATAACATGTAGAGGCTTCAAAATATAATGTGTCCATATTGTCTCGACCACTCGGGATGAGAATGACGTGCCTCGCTGCTGTGGTTAGCAGCAGCAGCCTGCTGGCCAGGGACCCACTGTCTCAATGAACACGTGTCGGTTTCGCGTTATCTGGTGGCAGGAGGCTCCCACGCAATGGGGCGGGACCCCTTTGTCTTTGCCTCGATGCGTCTCCTCGCCTCGTCTGGCGCGGCGAGGAGACGCGAGACCCAACTCCACCGGCTTTCGCCTGATCCCGCCCGACCCCCCTCCGCACCGAGGCGATTGTATCGGTGTCCGCCGGGTGACCCCTTGCTCTGGAAGCTTCCAGTGCCCTGCGATGTGTTTTGTCTGCGTCGCCCCTTGTGTTGTCGCCTCACGTGACCTTACAGAATATAAACTCAAAACTAAACTATTTTATATTTGACCGGGTAAGGCCCCGCCCAGCTGTGTGGCTCTTTTTTTTTCAGAAGCGACCTGGCCATCACGATTGATAGGGCAACGAAGTGGCTTGTCATCACCATGTGGACATTAATAGCAGCCAGATACTCGAAACGCGTGATGTTCCTTCGAAATGTGGAGGGACAAATCAGAGAACCCGGAGAAAAATCCACGCGACCACGGAGAGAGAGAGACGCGCAAACTCCAAATATACAGCAGCAGGCGTCAGAGTTGGGATAGAAATCACATCCTGCTGTAAACCAGGCGAGGTAGTAAACATCTCGCCACCACGGACAGACAGACTCGTTAAACACCCATCGTCTCGAACATCGAACCTCCGCCCTCATCGTGAGCAGATGGGAAACGACATCACGGGATTCGTACAACTACCAAAGCAGCTGACTCACACGAACGCCCTTTCTGTACCCGGGCAATCCTCGCTGCGTCTCTGAACTTCTCGCCAGGAGGGCCCCGGGTTGGGCGTGTGTCACCACTCACACGAATGAGTGGCGTGTAACGAATTAAACTGGAGAAAGTCCGATGTGCAGTAGTCAATAATAAAGATGGATTCAAGAATCCGTGGTTGTGGCCCCCATCTCCTTGGCCACCTCACAGCTCAATCTCACAACGCCCGCTATTCCCACTCTCCCATGAAGCACAGGAGGAGCTGAACCCTCGCGATTCCATGCCGCGCCAGACACAGCGACACTATTCTGGGCCAAACCGGCCTCTTCATTTTCCGCCGTCTCGTTCGTGAGTTTCATCTCGCAACCTCCGATCCACTTTAAAAGTGTCCTCCTCCCCCGCCCCTCCCCCTTGTCACGTGACAAGTCTCTCGAACCATGCACGTGGAACGTCGTTTCTCTGTCGCGGCTCCACTCGCCTGAAATTCACTCCCTCCTTCTTTCTCACTGGAATTCACTCCACTTATCTCACTGGAATTCACTCCCTCCTCCTGTCTCACTGGAATTCACTCCCTCCTCTCTCACTGGCATTCACTCCCTCCTCCTCTCTCACTGGAATTCACTCCCTCCTCCTCTCTCACTGGAATTCACTCCCTCCTCTCTCACTGGAATTCAATCCCTCCTCCTCTCTCACTGGAATGCACTCCCTCCTCTCTCACTGGAATTCACTCCCTCCTCCTCTCCCACTGGAATTCACTCCCTCCTCTTATCTCACTGGAATTCACTCCCTCCTCTCTCACTGGAATTCACTCCCTCCTCCTCTCTCACTGGAATTCACTCCCTCCTCTCTCACTGGAATTCACTCCCTCCTCCTCTCTCACTGGAATTCACTCCCTCCTCCTCTCACTGGAATTCACTCCCTCCTCTCCTCTCACTGGAATTCACTCCCTCCTCTATCACTGGAATTCACTCCCTCCTACCTCACTGGAATTCACTCCCTCCTCCTCTCCTACCACTCTGAACATAGGCGTTAGTGTTATCACTCCTGTCGGAATATCAAGACGATTCTCCCGTGCCGCCAAATGTCCTCTTCAGTTCAATGTGAACGCGTGACGCATTGTAATAATTAATGATTTGGGTGTCTGACAGGGCAGAGCTGTGGTGAGACTACTAACTGCTAACCAGCGGAGGTTTTTGCAATGGTATGCCCCTCAAGATCTAATAGACGGTTGTGATTCACAAAAAAAAAATCGATTTGAACTATTTGGTGAATGTAGCGACCCCTAGTGGCAGTACGGGTTGGAAAAAAGAGTGTCATAGAGAACAAGCAATCAGCAAGACAATTGTATTGGGTCCCGGCTGCCAACATACCCCCATGAAACATCAACAAAACCACGTGTAATAAAAGACTTCCACGGCGATGCTTGTTCGAGTGCTTCTTTTATTAACGGTAGTACAGCACGGCTTCGCTCCTTCCCCCTCCAGTATTTTCCCTCTTTCCAACCGCGTGGACGAGGCATCCCTCTCCGAGCTCCAACGAGGCTCACTCCGTTCTCCCGGCCTCGCCGCTGGCTGACGGCACGCTGGAAGCGGCGGTGAGCTCCGAGGGAGGATCCGCCACGTGGCCCGTGGCGAGGAGGAGATTGAGCAGTGACGCGGTCCGGAACCCAGGTTCCCCACACCGACCCCGAGTCCTTCCCCGATCCCCCTTACATCCTACTCAGCGGAGCTAAGCTCCGCCTCTGGCCACGCCCCCTCGGGGAACCTTCCCGCTAGTTCCAGAACCTCTCTCAGCAACCTCGCCCGTCCTCTCTGGCCCAGATCTTATCCCCCCTTAGGATTGGCTGCTGATTACGTCATGGTGCCTGTACCCGTTACCCTCTGGCACCCCCTGAATGGCGCTCTCTCATTACACATCTAACCACGTGTGCCTCTTTAAACAAACCGAGTGGTCCCACATAAAAACCCCTACCCACCTGTACAAATGTACACATAAAAACCCCTACCCACCTGTACAAATGTACACTATATACACACATTGTTGCACACCCACCCGCACCCACATGACACACCCAATGACAACGCGGCTGACCGTCAATATGACAAGGGCGAGAATAAACACCCAAAAAACGACCAGTCAAACGCACGGTAAGTGTGCGGTGCGGAGGCCGTGAGAATGTGGGTAAGTTCAGGAAAATGTTTTCGATTTTGAGCGAGTCCACGTGGCTGGTCCATCTTGAGTGGCGGAGGGTTGCGGTAGCGTGTTTGCAGGGACCCGAGCAACCTGGTGGTTCTCTGGTTGGGCGGACGAATGCTCGTCATCCGGAGTGGCTGGTGTGGACGGCCGTGGTGACGTTACTCCTGCGGCATCTGAGGGTGCAATGACACGGCTGGGCTGAGGGTTAGGCACCTCTGACGCACGACTCGGCTCGTCGGACACATCACGCTCTCAGCCCCCGTGTAGTGTGGACGAAGTGTGCGTTGCGACAAAGGGTTTAAGACATGACGGGTGAACGTATCAGCGGCGCCTACCATACTGAATCTGGACACATTGCGGCCGGACGACTCAGATGATCTCTACAAGGCCCCTTTAAGGTTTGATAAGTTTTGGCGACGTCGCCAAAGGTACCTGGGGGCAATGGAGCCAAGCCCTGCCCCCCTCGACCCACTGATGACCGGACGTACGAAGGCCCCGAAGGCATTCGTTGGCCAGTTGGCACGACTCTGAGTTATGTTTAGCAGCCTCCCGCACATTGACCAACTTATGGACATTGAAGCATGTGGTCGGCGATTTTAGACTTAAAGGCAGGCGGCTTGACATGCAATTGGACCTCCACCAGGGGGTTAATCTCCCTGCCATACATTAGGTAGAATGGCAAAAAAACCAGTAGCCACGTGAGGTGCCATCCTGTACGCAGCCAGGCACCCGGGAATCAGCAGGTCCCAATCGTCCTGCAACTCACACGACTGGGGGCTCGACATAGAGGTAAGCGTCTTGTGGAGGCGCTCGACCATACCGTCCGTTTGCGGATGATATGGTGAGGTACGAATTTTATGAGTGCCCAGCAGATTGCACATGTCCCGCAACAAGGTAGACGATAAATTCTTCCCTTGATCGGTCAGCAGCTGTTCGGGAGCACCCTTGTCCAGGACCCCAACCAACAGGTACTTGTTACCCCGGGGAGTGGCAGGAAATGGCCCCAAAATGTCCAGCGCGACAAGTTCATTGACGCGGGACACACGAATGAACTGACGGTCTAGCGGGAGGTTTTCGGCGTGCGCACTGAGTGCAGCCTTGGAGTAAGTCGGCTACAACCCTTGCCATGCCCGGCCAGAAGAAGTCCAGCTGGAGCATGACAAGTGTTTTACGTACACCCAAATGCAGGAGGCGCTCGTGAGCAGCCCAACCGCCTTTCCCCGTAGGGAAGTGGGCACCACCAATTTGTATTTTTGTGAGCAGCTGTCCCATCTCATGAGGAGGCCGTCTCGCACAGTGAAGGAAACGGGACCCCCACGACCTCTATCCCCGCGAGACTCACCGGCGCGACGGCGTAATTTAAGGGAAGCGTCTTCCACCTGAAGACGCCCCCAATCAGCCAAACTCAGGTCCAACAATGCGTCTTGCGTGACCAATGCGTCGGATACCCCAGGGGAATCGATCCCAGCATCGGCAGCAGCAGCAAGGGACGGAGGCGAGCCATCAACTGGTAGCCTGCAACGCGCACCTCCCGGCAGTCGGCAATCGCGACAATGCGTTAGTGTTGGCATGTCGGACACCCTTGTGATAGGTAACCGTGAACGTGTAGTCCTGAATGACCTCGAGCCAGCGGGATAGTTGACCGGATGGCTGATCAACTCGTAATGCATATTGAAGTGCCGCGTGGTCCGAACGCACGGTGAAATGTCTACTGTACAGGTTAAACGAGTGGTCTCCGACACGGTAAAAAATCTAACTTTTTATTCAATAAAAGCTCAGTACAGCCACACGTCCCCGTCTCTTCCTTCTTGCGGCATCCACTCTTCATTTGGTACGCTGCCCCGCGCCACGTGGCGCTCACCCGCTCTCCAACGCACCGCCGGCTGACGGTGCTCGAAGGAGCGTCTGGGCGGCTGGAGGACCAACCACCACGTGGTTGATGGAGATGACGGGGCAGCAGCGGCGGGGCTCCTCTTCAGTCTTCAACACCAACCCCTTCGCATTGCTCCGTGTCCCCTTATATCCCCCTACCCGTGTCTAAGCCCCGCCTCTGGCCATGCCCTTTCTGGAACCTTCCCGAACGTTCCCGAAGCCTCCCTGGTGGAACCACCTCTCCCTTTCACCCAGATATAAACTCTACTATGGATAAGTATGGCTGTAGAATAAAATACATGCCCCATGAATAATCCAGGCGATGGCGCTCTCATTACATCACCCCGCCCTGTATACAAAATTTTAGCCATCCCGGCTAAGGAAGGGCAACACAACAGAACGCCATCAGCCACATAACACAACACAACAAGAGAATGATAACAAAATGTAGTGACTCTCACCAACACAACAACAACGCCGCGGAAAAAGCACGCAATCCGAATAAAATAATTGTTTAAGAAAATTGCAATGATTTAGAGCGTGTCTGCATAGCCGGCCGTCCGCCAGCGGCGAGACAGGAACACCGACTGGTGGGGATAGTGGTCCAACAATTGGCAGTCCTGCCGGAACTCCCGCAGATGGGCCCGGGGAATTGGCGACATCCTCCAGACTCGCCGTCACCTTCAGGGGCGCTGTGAACGGCAAAGAAAGAGGCTGCGGAAGATCACTCTTGACAGGGATGACAGGTCTGTTGGCAACGTCAGGCACTGGGATTCCGGGATTTGGAGATGACGATGGCGGCACAGGAGCAACGAACGGTTTTAACCGCGACGGGTGAACAAACCAACGCCGGCAACCGTGACGAACACGAACCCACTGCGGGCGCAAAACCTCCACAATCGTCACAGGGCCCTGCCATGGCTGGTAAAGTTTAGCAGAGGTGCCACGCAGCATCCCCAACCGACCTTGGCATGTCCCCCTTCGACCGACGTGGGCAATGCTCATTCCGAGCCTGAGTCTTTGAGTTATTCACCCTGGTGGCCTCACGCGGCTCCGAAACCCGCCGGAGGAACGGTTGGATGTACTCAGGGGGAGTCGATTTCAGCGGCACAATAGGGGAGCCCAACTGGACATCCACGGGCGGCATGTTCTCTCTTCCATACATAAAAAATGGCGAATAGCCCGTAGAAGCATGAGGTGCCATCCGGTAGGCAGAGAGGACGCTGGGTATGTGGAGTTCACAGTCGGCCTGTCGTTCATCAACTGTCTGGCACAACATAGCAGATAAGGTGCGATTCAATCGCTCCACCATACCATCGGTTTTGAGGGTGGTAGGGAGACGTAAAAATGTTCCTGGTACCCAAAGCAACACACACCTCCCGCAACCGTGACAGTGCGTCAGCATTCGTGTGCCATATCCCTTTCCGGTGGGTGACATCAAACGCATACTCCTGCAAACACTCCAACCAATGCGCCACCTGACCACCCGGCTGCTCAATCTTCAATGAGTATTGGAGGGCCGCGTGATCAGTATGTATGACAAATCGCCTGCCATACAAATAGGTCTGGAAAAGGCGTACAAAAAGAACAATCGCCAGCAACTCCAGACGAGTAACACTGCCGGCGAAAGAACCCGACTACTGTATGCCTATTATATTCTTAGTTTTTTCGGTAAAGTCACGTTGAAGAGAAACAACAAAATAACAAAATATATATAAAACAATGACCGTTTGAGTTATGGTCGAAACGTCGTGAGAATTTTTTATTGTTTTATATATATTTTGTTATTTTGCTGTTTCTCTTCAACGTGACTTTACCGAAAAAACTAAGAATATGAATTACTGCAGTCACGAAAGCTTTAAATCAAAATTTACTGTATGCCTACTTAACACTCCCCCTCACCTGTGACAGGACAGCCCTGATCCCCATGTCGCTGGTGTCAGTGTCAAGGATGAAGGGAGATGAAAAATCCAGATAGTCAAGAGTAGGCGCATCCGACAAGCGTTCACGGAGGGTATTGAATGCCGCCTCCTCCTCCGGACCCCAATAGAATCTCTGATTTTTACCCGTAAGTGTAAGCAATGAATCGACGATAATAGGAGGCGAAGCCAACAAAGCTTCGAACATCTCCTACACTCGCAGGAACTGGCCAATCATGTATGCAGGCTGTTTTAGCGGGATCAGTTGAAATGCCATCAGCGCTCACGATGTGACCCAAATACTGCACAGAAATATGCAGATGGCATTTTTTGGGTTTAAATTTCAGATTGGCTGAACGCATTCGCTCAAAAATACAAATAAAAATGTATTATTTTTAAAAACAGCGCGCAGCCGGAGGTGATCTTCAAACGTCCAGCTGAACACGATGACATCATCCAAATAGATAAGACAAGTATCCCATTGGAGACCGGCCAAAACAAGTTCCATGAATCTCTGGAACATGGCAGGAGCAGCATTTAATCCCAAAAGCAAACAATAAAATTGAAAAACGCCTTGGGGAGTACGAATGCGGTCTTCTGTCTCGAGGACTCATCGAGAGGCAGTTGCCAGAACCCAGAAGACAAATCAAGCGTGTAAAAAAAACGAGCGCCAGACAAAGCATCGAAAGAATCATCCATATGAATCATCATATGCATCCGCCAAGGAAACTTTGTTAAGGCGCCGAAAATCCACACAAAATCGCAAATTTCCATATTTTTTCTTAACCAGAACCACAGGCACGCCCCACGGACTGGTGGACGGTGAAATGTCTGCAACCAACATGTCATCCACGGCGCGGCACTCACTTTCCTTCTCAGATGGCCCCATACGATGCGGATTCAGCCGAATGGGGGCCACATCGCCCGTCTCTATATGATGAGACAGCAAGGACGTAATCGTCGTATTCAGCAAGGACGTAATCGTCCTTGCTGAAAACGTCCGAAAATTCAGACAAAAGGCGCAATTCCTCCCGCTGAGTCGCTGACAACGAGGCGTTTTCGGCACACAAATCGGCGATATGTGATGACGTGTGCTCTACGCGATCGGTAATGCAGTGATAGCGCGAGCAAGGACAGTGCCCTCAGGCACGACGTTGCCCGGGCCCCCGTTCAAGACGTGCAAGAACGGGGTCTGACCTGGACCCTAGTGGCCAAAAGGCCCGGATCATCCTACCTAGCCTGTCTACCACCCCCTGTTGACACATGTCCGTTACCACAGGTAAGGATGAATGGGAATATATACTGCTTAACCATGCTACTATACAATGTAAAAATCGACTGTTAAAAAAATCACAAATCGCCACCATTATCATCACCACCACTATCACCACCTCAATCATCAAAAATCATCATTAGCATTATCACCATCATAATCGTCTCTATGATGTCAATGGTGATCTTCAGGGCTCTATGATGCCAATGGGGATCTTCAGGGCTCTATGATGCCAATGGGGATCTTCAGGGCTCTGTGTTGTCAATGGGAACTTCAGGGCTCTATGATGTCAATGGGAACTTCAGGGCTCTATGATGTCATTGGGGATCTTCAGGGCTCTATGATGTCAATGGGGAGCTTCAGGGCTCTATGATGTCATTGGGGATCTTCAGGGCTCTATGATGCCAATGGGGATCTTCAGGGCTCTCTGATGTCATTGGGGATCTTCAGGGCTCTATGATGTCATTGGGGAACTTCAGGGCTCTATGATGTCAATGGGAACTTCAGGGCTCTATGATGTCAATGGGGAACTTCAGGGCTCTATGATGTCATTGGGGAACTTCAGGGCACTGTGATGTCAATGGGGAGCTTCAGGGCTCTGTGATGTCAATGGGGAGCTTCAGGGCTCTATGATGTCATTGGGGATCTTCAGGGCTCTATGATGTCATTGGGGAACTTCAGGGCTCTATGATGTCAATGGGAACTTCAGGGCTCTATGATGTCAATGGGAACTTCAGGGCTCTATGATGTCATTGGGGAACTTCAGGACTCCATGATGTCATTGGGGAGCTTCAGGGCTCTATGATGTCATTGGGGAGCTTCAGGGCTCTATGATGTCATTGCGGAGCTTCAGGACTCCATGATGTCAATGGGGAGCTTCAGGGCTCTATGATGTCATTGCGGAGCTTCAGGACTCCATGATGTCAATGGGGAGCTTCAGGGCTCTATGATGTCAATGGGGAGCTTCAGGGCTCTATGATGTCATTGGGGAGCTTCAGGGCTCTATGATGTCATTGGGGAACTTCAGGGCTCTATGATGTCAATGGGGAACTTCAGGGCTCTATGATGTCAATGGGGAACTTCAGGGCTCTATGATGTCATTGGGGAGCTTCAGGGCTCTATGATGTCATTGGGGAACTTCAGGGCTCTATGATGTTAATGGAGAACTTCAGGGCTCTGTGATGTCAATGGGGAGCTTCAGGGCTCTATGATGTCAATGGGGAGCTTCAGGGCTCTATGATGTCAATGGGGCGCTTCAGGGCTCTATGATGTCAATGGGGAACTTCAGGGCTCTATGATGTCATTGGGGAACTTCAGGGCTCTATGATGTCAATGGAGAGCTTCAGGGCTCTATGATGTCATTGGGGAACTTCAGGGCTCTATGATGTCAATGGGAACTTCAGGGCTCTATGATGTCAATGGGGAACTTCAGGGCTCTATGATGTCATTGGGGAGCTTCAGGGCTCTATGAAGTTAATGGGGAGCTTCAGGGCTCTGTGATGTCATTGGGGAGCTTCAGGGCTCTATGATGTCATTGGGGAACTTCAGGGCTCTATGATGTCAATGGGGAGCTTCAGGGCTCTATGATGTCAATGGGGGACTTCAGGGCTCTATGATGTCATTGGGGAACTTCAGGGCTCTATGATGTCAATGGGGAACTTCAGGGCTCTATGATGTCATTGGGGAACTTCAGGGCTCTATGATGTTAATGGGGAGCTTCAGGGCTCTATGATGTCATTGGGGAGCTTCAGTCAGACCACTTCACGTGACGCAAACGTCCTCGGCAACTCATGGAAAATGCCTGCAATCTATTTAATTGACCCTTCGGTAATGTCCCCACGACTCAGATCCACACGTATAACCAGGCGGTCGGGGCGTTCTATGATCGCCTGCAATGTAGCATTCTGGAGCGATCGAGGGTTGGTGGATTCGACGACCCTTGTGAAACTCTCTTCCCGTGGGCGTCGAGGTGTCACGCCACCTGGCTCCCCAGGAGGACGCGGTACAGTAGCAAAGATTGAACTCCAATTGTTCCATCTATATGGGATAGAACGTTTCCCCCTCGCACATGTCGGCTTTATTTAATTGCTCTGCTTTTCTTCCATATCTTAAACACTGATAACACCTTAATATATAGAGGACCACAGAACTCGGGGCAATTGTCGGTGCTGGCTGACTGCGTGACTGTCTTCCTGCTTGTCTCAGTCGTCCTCTCTCTTTCTCTCTCTCAGCGAGAGTGAGCGGATGCTGTGGGGCAGTGTGCTACAGGTCGAAATTTGTATTCTTATAAGCAGCTCCTCATGTTTGTGCCAGGTCGTAACTTACGACGTCTCCGTAGCCTCTTCGGTGAAACCATCACAGATGTGGTGAGATAAAAACTCTGTGGCACCCCGGTGACAGACGTGGTGCCCATGGAACATTGCGAGGAGCGGTGATTAACAAAATCTTCGAACTCCTCCAATTGGACAGCGTAAACCTGAATGTTTTGCGTTGTTTTGTCCAGCTGTCAGATTCTAAACATTGGCCTTCATCCAGCAATTTGATTCGCTGTGCCTCTGAAGGTTTAGATTTGCCATCGATCTAATGGACCAATCCAAGTCGTTTAAGTAATTAAATATCATTGCTTTCCAGAAATCACCTCGGTATTAGCAACATCTATACCTAGCCCAGGCCAGCTGAACCAAGAAGCCCGGAGTTGAACTTGACTCGCACCGCAGAGCCGCTGAATTGACACCACTCAGTCGCTCGCACTCGCGTCGTATCAGACAGATTAAAACAAACTCCAGTCCATAGCGCCATATACAAATATTGTAACACACACATCCATATAGTCGTTCGGCCTATTAGCCTTCTAGACTTATAGTAACTGCCAGCATTTTTTCCAGCAATAAAAACGCTCAGTCAATTTCAAGTGCCAAGCTTCATAAATAAATACTAGCGGGTTTGTTGTTCCAGATGTTATTGGTGCTGAGAGAGCCCCTGTCGGCACAGCAAAACGTTACGAAATTATTCACTAGTCCGATTTATAATCAAACTTAGGATGCGCTATTGGGGAGATCACCCTGGGTAATACAACGAATAACTCACCCTATGTTTTGTCTCTCAACGTAAAATATATTTTATCTGTAGGGCAGCACGGTGGCGAGATGTTAACTACCTCGCCTGGGATGCAGGGGGGCGTGGGTTCGATCCCGACCCTGACATTCGCTGTATAGTTGGAGTTTTTGTGGATTTTTCTTTCCTAGTCCTCCGGGTTTCCCCTCCACATTCAGAAACGTGCGTTTAGAGTATTTGGCTGCAATAAATGTCCACTTGATCAGCCACTTCGTTGAGCTATCATTTGTGATAGCCAGGTCGCCTATGAAAAAGAGCTACATAGCTCCGTGGGTCTTATCTGGTAAAATACATAATAGTAGTTTTATATTGGCCTTCTAGATTTATTCTTCACCAGCAATATGTGTCAAAGCCAGGCAAACCTTCACCATCTTCTCCGGAACTCCATCGCTCTTCACTGTGCTCCATCCACGTGGATTCCCGATGCACGATGTCGAAAGGTAGACGTCTTGAGGTCAATGTAGGTCACCGGCTCCTTGCACGCACAATACTTCTCAGCCACCCATCGCAGCGCGTATATCCATTCGCAGCATGATTTCCCCCAGAGAAATCCTGCCCGATCAGATATCGACGTCTGATCTACTGCCTCCCTTCATTGTGCTCAACAGGATTCGTGACAATCGTGATTGGAAGCTTTCGTGACTGCAGTAATCCATACCTACGTGACGTTACCGAAAGAACCAAAGAGTATGGATTCGTGATATTACCTTCCTGGGCAATGGCAACACGTTAACTCCAGTCTCAGTGCATGCTTAGATCGGTTGTGGGATTTCAAATTCATCCCTCCCTCTCCCATACGAGATTGCAAAATGAGCACGATTTGTTCAAAGATCACTTCTCCGGATTTTAGCGACCCTTCATGGAGCGTATCGGCAGCTCCAAGCTTTGCCATTGTGAAGTTATCCGATAGCCTTGGTGACCTCTGTACTCGTATTGATAACTGGAACATGGATGTGTCAAAGCCGGAGCTAGTTGTTGGTCGGGGGCAGGTCAACATTGATTAAAAATGTTGCAAAAGGTTTCTGTTTGGTGTTTTAACATCTTAACACGGCTGTTTTATTGCCAGAAAGGGTAAAACCTCTTCTTATATTTTGATAGTGGCAAGGGAGGTCCTATGTTGTAGCTTCTTCATCTCTCCCAATCATCTGATCATTAACAACACTGATGGATGGAATTGGAGAGTACCTTCTGTCAGACAGCTCCTGAATTCACTTGAATACTTTCGGTCTCCTGTGACTGCAGCTTCAACGGCTTTGTCCACCAGTCAGTGATCTTCTATCACTGCAAGGGGTACAGAGGGCACAGAAGATAAATAATTGCCTATTTGATTTGTGGACTTGATACGTGAAATTCACATATTATAATAGTCAATATTTTATTGTTCATGTTCATTGTTTGTGTAAATGTTAATTGGCTTTAAATATTTATGTTTGGGTCAGATCGCTATATGAGTAAAATGTGTCATGAACTCTCCTCCACCTGACAGGGCCGCTTAATGAAGGTGTCACGTGGTGAACAAACCTTGCCAGTCTATCGCTGCTGCTTGAGCACCATCGGGCATTGTTGTTGGAGAGCAGTCCGGACAACATTTAACCCAATTGGGCACGGACGTTACCCTGACACGGCAGTTAAAACCAGTATCGTCCGGACATCTGAAAATATCTTGCCAGCCTTGGGCTTTTGGTGTGGTTTTAAATTGGCCAATGAAAGTATTATTTTGAAAATTAATGGGTGGAGGTCGCGTGGTCTCCGGGCGGTGGCGTGAGTGAGGAGGAGCGCTCCAGGTGTGTCCCCTGTCCTCTCATTGGCCGCCCCCACCGACTCTCAACACTCCTACGTGGACCCGCAGCCCAGCTAACACGGGGGGGGGGGGGGGGGTCAGGGTGCCCTGGTCAGCGGCAGTTAACATCAATGAGTAGGGACCCCGTGGCTTATTGCTCACACGCGGCTGTGTCACAGCATCGTCCCCCCACCCCAGCCGTGTGGTGGCTGCTGAATGCTAATCCAGCGCTGTGGAGAGGCAGTGACAGCGAGGGATTGGTGGATTACCGCACGCTGATGTTGTTGTGAAACTCCCCTTCTCCCCGCGGGCGCCGAGGAGGTGCCCGTACCCTGGCTCGCCAGGAGAAGGCGATTACAGCAGCAAGTGAACTGATCGCCATCTGTTTCCGTCTGTACGGGGATAGAGCGTTGTTCCTTCGCGTGCGGCGTTGATTTTCTGCGGGTGTTTGTTCCGGTTTCCTTCTACTTGTATAATAAACATAACCCATCAGTAATTGGCTGAAAGTCTCGAGACGCTGATGATGATTGACCAAGAGCATCGCACCCCATGGAGGGCGCGTGACCACGAACAGGGCCAGCACCACGGGGCCACAACGGGGACCACCACCACGGGGCCACTGCGCCCGCCGCTCTCGGCCGTCGGCTTCCTTGTCCCGCGCGGAGCCACGCGGGGGCGCTCGCCCACGGTCCTCCGGGGGCGAGCAGAGCGCCGCTCACACCCCCACGACTCACCATCACTGACCACCCCACACACCCACGACTCACCATCACTAACCACCCCACACCCCCACGACTCACCATCACTGACCACCCCACACACCCACGACTCACCATCACTGACCACCCCACACCCCCACGACTCACCATCACTAACCACCCCACACCCCCACGACTCACCATCACTAACCACCCCACACTCCCACGACTCACCATCACTGACCACCCCACACCCCCACGACTCACCATCACTGACCACCCCACACCCCCACGACTCACCATCACTGACCACCCCACACCCCCACGACTCACCATCACTGACCACCCCACACCCCCACGACTCACCATCACTGACCACCCCACACCCCCACGACTCACCATCGCTAACCACCCCACACCCCCACGACTCACCATCACTAACCACCCCACACCCCCACGACTCACCATCGCTAACCACCCCACACCCCCACGACTCACCATCACTAACCACCCCACACCCCCACGACTCACCATCACTGACCAGCCCACACACCCACGACTCACCATCACTGACCACCCCACACCCCCACGACTCACCATCACTGACCACCCCACACCCCCACGACTCACCATCACTGACCACCCCACACCCCCACGACTCACCATCACTAACCACCCCACACCCCCACGACTCACCATCGCTAACCACCCCACACCCCCACGACTCACCATCACTAACCACCCCACACCCCCACGACTCACCATCGCTAACCACCCCACACCCCCACGACTCACCATCGCGAACCACCCCACATCCCCACCCCTACTAACTACAGCCAACTCCACCCTCACATTAACCAAAACTAACACCCCCCCCCCGCTCCCACCCCTATGAACCACAGCTAACCCCCCACATTAACCAGACCTAACCCCCACCCCTATTAACCACAGCTAACCCCCCACCCCTAATAACCACAGCTAACCCCCCGCATTAACCAGACCTAACCCCCACCCCTACTAACCACAGCTAACCCCCCACATTAACCAGACCTAACCCCCCACCCCCACTCCAAAACCTATCTGACCCCCCGCCCGCCAATAGCTCTGTCCACTATCCAACCCCCGCACCACCTCCACCTTGTCCACCCCCACCTCCACCCCCCACACCACTAACCCGAGATAACCCCCACCGCGTCCTCACCGCGGCGCACGCTCGCACCACGACCGCAGCGTTAATCCGCTCGCTCCTCGCCCCGCGAGGCAAAAACAAAACAAAGTGACGCATCCGCTCACCCGCCCGCCCGCCCGCACAACGTTGCGCTGGTGCTTGCGTGCGTCCCTACCGCCACACACACGCACAGACGCACAGACACAGACACACACGCGCACGCGCGCACACAGACACACATATATAAATGGCACGAGCGAAGTTCCAGCGGTCCACTCTCCATCCATCCACCCACGTGGAGCACCATCAGCATCATCACCATCAGCATCATCGCCGTCGTCGGGGTGGGTCCGGGGCAGCGGCAGGTCAAGGTGGGCAGATCACCTGCGGCGGACGACCGCCGCTCCTCCTCCTCCTCCCCGTCCTTCAGGCAGCAAGTCGCGAGGCTGCCCGTGTAATCCTCAAGACGCTCGAAGGCGTCGAAGGCACGGGGCATCGAGGGTCTGGTGGCGCGCAGGCCACGCGGACATCCTCCCCGACCGTCCCCTCAGCCACCCCCGCGGCAGCAGCCACAGCGGCGCCACCGGCACTGCCATGCTGCTGTTGCCGCCCGTGACGGCACTCGGCAAGGCGCTGCAGGTGAGGCGGCTGGCCGAGTGGCTCTGCGTTCTGCCGCGATTTCTCCTCTCGGCTCTCATGCTCTTTCTGCTCGACGTGCCCTGCGTGCGCCGATTTGTGCTCGAGCGAATGCAAAAGTCGTCGTCGTTACCGGACGACACAGCAACCGCAGTAGCGACAACAGCAGCAGCGGCGCCGCCTTCAAAATCATATCCCTCTGTGGAGTCGTCCTCCAGTGCACTGCTGTCACCTGCTGCTGCTGCTACTGCAGATGACGGCTGTGGCGGTGACGGCAGCAGCAGCAGCGAGGACGCAGCGCACCACGGCCAAGTGAGCGTCGACATTCCTCACAGTGACGAAGGTGCGGCAGGTGCGAGTGTCGCTGATGAAGGAGCAAGACAGCAGCAGCAGCAGGAGGACCGTGAGGAGGAGGAGGACCCCCCGCTGCGCATCTCCGCCACGGAGCGGACCTTCACGTGCCCCGCGCTGCGCGCCGTGTGGCGCGGCCACCTGATGAACGCGGGCCGCGAGGCGAGGCTGGGCGGCCCGGCTCCCAACTCGCCCGTCGTCGCCGTACGCCCCGACCGCCGACGCCTCCACGGCGGCGACACGGGCAGCGACCACCTCCTCGACTTCTCCCGGGACCCGCGCCGCCCCCTCGTCGTGTGCTTCGGCAGCGGCAGCTGACCGCCGTTCGTGGCGCGGCTGGGCGCGCTGTCCCGCCTGGCGGCTCGCTGGGCGGCCGTGGCCGACGTGCTGGTGGTGTACACGAGGGAGGCGCACCCCTCGGACGGGTGGCGGACCGGCGACGCGCTGCTGCAGGTGCCGCAGCACCGCACGCTGAGCGAGCGGGTGGCCGCGGCCAGGCAGCTGTCCCCGCTGCTCGTGCCGCCGTGCGCCCTGGTCGCCGACGGCATGGGGGACGCGTGCGCGCGCGCCTACGGGGCCGCGTTCCACCGCCTCTTCGTGCTGCACCGCGGCCGCGTCGTCTACCAGGGCAGCCGCGACCCCACGGGGGGGCGACTGGCCGACGTGCGCAGGTGGCTCGAGGTGTTCCAGGGCGGCCAGGGGCGGGAGGAGGAGAGGGGAGCGGGTGAGACGCTCCTCCTGCCGCCCGCGAGCGCCTAAAAGTTCCGCGCTCGCGGAGTTGGGCGGCAGCGCGATGATTGGCGTCAGCAACAATCAGCAATCCGTGTTGTCACCAGCGTTGCCTCACTCGTAATTATCGCGCCGATTTGTCAAAGTGACGGACACGAAACTCGATGAGCCGCATCGTAACCGTGACGAATGGCTCTAATCATCATCACCACCATCGCATTGTCATCGCATCATCAACATCATCGTCAGTAGAAGTAGCAGGAGCGCCGTTATCTTTGTTTTAAAAGTGGTCGAGTTGCTCAGGGAGGGCATTCATGATGGCGGCGTCAGAGCACTGCGCCGGCACCGCGAGACTCTGGGTTCGAATCGGGGTCTCAGCCACCTGCGAATGGACCGGGTTCCCGAGGGACAGTGATGCGAGCGAGCGGGCGGGCGGGCTGGCGTCGTCGTCGGCCCTCTCGCCGGTGACCGCACCCGGCGCAGCAGCTGCAGCTGACGCGTCGCGAACTCTCCACCCCCCCCCGCCCCCCGTCTCTCAAGAGAGCCACGCGGATACTCGCAGCTAGGCGATGGGTGGCCTTTAATCTCACAAGGTCGTGCACTACTCGCTGTGCGAGTTCTCCACTGAAGTGAATTCCTTCGTCTCTTGGCTTCACGTCGGTACCATGCACCAGCGGCGTGATGGGAAGAACGTTGCCACTCTCAGTCTTGACCCTGTGCACGAGTCGATGTTATCGCTCTGTCTCCACAGCGGCTGTTCCTCTCTCGGGACGCGTTCTCTGCGTTGCCTCTTGCGCCGTGGTAGTGTGTGTGCGTGCGTGTGCGCGTGTGTGCGCGTGCGTGTGTGTGCGCGTGTGTGCGTGTGCGTGCGTGTGTGTGTGCGTGCGTGTGCGCACCCGTTGCGGTGTGCATACGTCGGCACTTTGGAGACAAAGGCGGCCGGGCGTGGCGCTCACTGCGACAACCCCCTCGTGTGCTGTGCCGGCGTCCATAGGTACTCGCGTACCGCACTTGCCCACCCTGTCCCCACGGCGACACGGGGAGTCGTGTTGCGAGCGCGCGTGTGAGCTGTGAGCAGTGGCGAGTAGTGACGGACGCACGTTGATGCGACTGGGGACAGACCGAGCCACTGCTGACCGCACAGGGCGACTATTTGGTGACTCGACTTTGGAGACTTTTAGCCCATGAGCCCTGGCGATATATTTCACTCGTCCATAGCACCCGAGGTGCCGCAACTTTAGAGCTTCCAGTTTTTCTTACGTGGCCAATACTGGTGAATAATTTGATAACCTAATTGCAATGAGTGGGTTATTAAATTATTAACTCACATCAGCCGCATGAATATATCGTTAGGGCAAGCCTTAGGTGGTGCCAGTGTCTGCTCTGGCCCGGGAACTATTTCCAAGAGGACAATTTAAAATATTGAGGAATCAACTCTGTAAGAGTCCAACATAATCTCGGCACAATTGCATCGTCAGCGAGCGCTCTCATTCCGCGTTCCGCCTCCCATCTAAGGCCACGCAAATTAAACCCCAACGCCCCTGCGGCGCAGCACGTTCATCGTTAGCAAGCGATGAGATTTGGATCCAATTTTGTAGAACGCATTTACATCGATTTCGCATCTCAATTGGCTTACCACCAATAATGATCAGCCATAGTGTGTCTCTATGTATTGGGGTCATTGGTGTAGGATGGTCCCTTGAAGGGTACATGAGTGTGATTCATGAATGACTCTGCTGAGTTCATTGGCAATCGACGTTTGTTGAAGAGTCATATACCAGAGATCAACCAGCGTTTGGGCGAGATTCAGGGTTAAGGGCTACCTTGTTTGAAGTTCTGTAACCAAACATTTCAAATGTAATCTTCTTAACAATTCACGCTGGTGGTTAGGTCGTGTGTGTGTGTGCCTCTCTATCATTATGACATTAAGATACATACACGTACTTAATGTTTTACAAGTGTATGACGATGATGATGCT